CCCTGGTGTCTGCCTGCTCTCCCTGGTGTCTGCCTGCTCTCCCTGGTGTCTGCCTGCTCACCCTGGTGTCTGCCTGCTCACCCTGGTGTCTGCCTGCTCACCCTGGTGTCTGCCTGCTCACCCTGGTGTCTGCCTGCTCTCCCAGGTGAAGCTCGACTTCGTGGCCCCTGCCACCGGTGCCCACAACTACACTCTGTACTTCATGAGTGACGCTTACATGGGCTGCGACCAGGAGTACAAGTTCAGCGTGGATGTGAAAGAAGCTGAGACTGACAGTGACTCGGATTGAGTTGTAGGAGAGCACAGCTGACCCCGGAGCAGGACAGGGACGGTTGCGTGGGGTCTTGTTGGGGAGTTGAGGTCTGCCCGTCGGGGCCGGTGCAGTCCCAGCCCTCCGCTGCCTCTTGTCCCTTTCGCCATCTTGCAGTCCAGACTTGGACCCAGTGCAAACACTGCCCCACCGAGGCAGTGGATGGAGCTGTGTCGCCAGAAGGGGGCAGCATCAGGGGATGTGACCGCCCCCCCCGCCGCCCCCCCAGCTTGGGCCCAGTGTCTGCAGGTGTCAGGTAGCTGGTCCTTCATAAACCTTGTACAGCGTTTTTAGGCACGTTCTTTGTAGTTCTTGTGAGTCGCACATTCTAATAAAACAACTCCAGGAAACCGTTTTCTTCTGTCTTTGCAATGATTCCAAATTAAGTTTCCTTTCTCTGAGGTGAGGCCCTTAGTGGGAAGGTTGGTTTGCTTTTGTAGCTGATGACTTTTGTAATCGGTACTTCTAGAGGACAGACCTGGCCTGCAGTCGGGCCGTCACCAGGAGCCGTTTCAACCCAGCTGGAGGAGGGAACATTGTTTGGCAGCTTCTCTTCAGGCTTGTGATGTTGGTCCCCCACCTGTGTGTTATCCAGATGTCAGCACTGCTGCAGGAACTAACACTTGAGCCTCGGTGGAGAGAGCCATGTCACCACAAGGGGGCAGCACTAGAAAACCAAACCCAACCCCTTGCCCTCAAGTTGATTCCAACTCACAGCGACCCTGTAGGACAGAGTAGAACTGCCCCATAGGGTTTCCAAGGAGAGCCTGGTGGATTCAAACTGCTGACCTCTTGGTTAGCAGCCATAGATAGCACTTAACCACTGCGCCACCAGGGTTGGGTGGATAGAGCCGTGTTGCCAGGGGGCAGCACCTGAAGGGGGTAAAATGCACCAGGGGATGTGACCCACTCTTGGTAAACCGATGTTGTAATCCAGATCTACAGATTTTTTCCTCAGATTCTTGCCTTCTGTTGCTTAGGAATACACGTGCATTGAATCAAAAGATTATTCTGAAAGGTGTTTTCCCCAGGCCAGCAGTTTTCAAATGATTTGGTCTTCGGGCCCCTTTCCACTGCACGTGGTTAGGGGCCTCAGATTTTTATTATCTAGGTTACATCCATTGGTATATTAAAATATATTAAACGATAATATTGAAAGTTAAAACAATTCATTTTATTGTACTTGAAGTGAAATTTTACAATTCAAGTTGGTCTATCAAACGAAAATTTAGTTACGTGACTGTAATTACTGTCCCTATGCTATGACAGCACACACTCCTCCTTACCCCATTAAAACAATTCATTTTAAAACACTAACTCCATGGTAACATTTTTTATGAAAAAAACTTTTCCAAAATAAATTCAGTGAGAAGAGAGGTGTTTTACTTTTTGCAAACATCTTTAATGTGGTTTAACCGAAGACAGTAAGCACTCAGCTGCTTGTATGGTCAATGCATAGTATGTTGTCTGAGTTGGAGTATAACGATAAAAACTGATTTCACAGACGCGTAGTAGGAAAAAGAAGGAGTTTTTTAAAAGCCTTTCCAGGTAATTGCGGGTATTCTTTGATAACTACACTGAAACTCAAGTAGCAGCTTGTTAAAGGCTGGGAACAACGCTGTCTTGTACACAGGGTCGCTGTGGGTCGGAACCAACCGGGTGACACCAGACGACGCGGTGCAATGTGGGATCTGATGCCGTACCAGGGAACTCTGTCCTGTTACATTAACGTCCATTGTTCCGTCTGACACTCTGAATAGCCCTCTTAACACGAACGATTTTGTAACATGCGTTGACACTCTGAATAGCCCTCTTAACACGAACGATTTTGTAACACGCG